GGTGATTTTTTTAATGTGTGGATAGTGTGTTTTAAAGTGTAGATAATCAACAAAGAAACAACTGGGAAAGTGCACTTTATTCAGACAGCTGCTGTAATGTAACTTTAGACAGTTGGAGGAGCCTGTAGCATGTATAGCAGTCCTCAGAGGAGGGGAGCAACTCTCAACAGCTGCTCTTCATTCCTGCAGGCTTTTTTCTCCTGCTCATTCCTCTTTTAACACAAACTTTTTTCTCTGATCCTTTCTCTATCTATCTCTACTCCAGACCCCAGGGAACCTTTTTATTTCTATTGCTTGTGGCAGCGGTTTAAAAATCCAGCTCAATTTTATTGCAAATGAGTGCATTTTTTTTTTCTCCATATTTGATCATCATCCTCGCTTTCAAATATTTATTTTAGTTTATAAACTGGATGACCCTATATGTTAATAGCCTGATCATATTGAGGACAGAACAGACAGACCAGAAAATGTAAGTTTATTGCAAAAAACAGTTTAAAACTGCCACATTTCAGCTGGGAAAGTGATTTCTTTTAAACAAAACTATTTCATTAAAATACCTCTGAGAGTATTTTGCTCTTTCTCATTCTCTATGTTGTTTGTATATTATATGATACACCAACATGAAGTTACCAATATGTGAAAGGACACTTATCTTTATAACATTTTTTTCAAAAACTATTGGAAGTTCCCTTTGTTCTCCTACCCATACATTCAACTCAACCCATTACCTTCAGAAGTCACCTGTCAATAGAACAGACCAAATGTGTAAAAAAGCAGTCCGTTCATAAAATTTTAAATATTTAATGGCAGCATAGTTGTTTGGAAGAAAAATAACAGATAGTAATGGCAGTAAAGTACTGTCGGAGTGTTTTTCTTCTCAGACAGGTAAGCTTCTCAGAGAAGATGGATGGAGCTGAATGCAGGCCAATCCTGATATTAAATTTATAACAGGACAGCAAATCGTTTGAGGCTGAGGTGGATATCCTTGTGGAAGCAGTAAAACAACCTGAACATACAGTCATAACTACAGTACGATAAAATAATTTAGGTGAAAACATTTCAATTTGCTTGAAAGTCATAATTAGAGTTCAGGACAAAATCTCATAAGCCTGTGATGCCACCTGTGCAATCTGAATGAGGATCTGCAATAAAGCATTTTCAGAAATTTCTGTCTAAGATTTGCAAAGCTTGTTGAGAAAAAGATGAAAGACTTAAATAATAACGACATTGGAATTTATAGAGTTTTACCCCAGGAGGGGTGCATACCAACTGCCAGCCTTTTTCATTTTTTATGAGTTGAAAAAAAAGAAAAAAAAAAAAAAACTCAAATACCATTTCTTCCACTTCTCAACCATGAACTACTTTATATCAAATTTACCATATAAGATCCAAATAAAATATGTGTGTGTGGAAATGTTTTAGATATAAGAGGTTTATTTTAAAACACTGTTAGACTCTTAGTTTTGACTTAGTACAGATTCACCTTTTGTTTTCTATTCACTGAAACCTTAAAGCACAGTTGTTTTGAGGTGTGTCTCAGATTTTCAATGGTTTTTGGGTCAGGTAGTTGTTGCTACCCTCCTCCTGCACTTCTTCGGGTAATCCACTGTGGATTTTGAGGCATGTTTAGAATTGATACCTTGCCAGATAGGCTTTTCCTGTTTTGCTTTGAGGTTTTCTTTTATTGAAAGAAAATGTAGCTTGGGTGTGTTACTACCGTAGTCATAGTTGCAGTGGTAAAGCACCAATGCCTCATGAAACAGTCCCCAACTCTATAATCAACTTGCAGTAGTGGAATGTGATTCTGTGGTTCCAAAGGCTCAGATGATTTTGGTTTGGCCATGTTCCATGATAACAATGGTAATCAGTAATAATAGTAATCTCCCATATTTCAACAGAATAATATACCAAACAGGAATCAGAACTACAATCAGTGAAAATGGGGTAAGGTTAAGACCTTCTTTACAATTTATCTCTATCATCAACATGACAAAAAAAAGAGAAAAACAGGCAAAGCCTCATTATAGTGCTTTGAAATTCAGTTTGGCAGCGGGAGCTGTATAATGGCAACATGTGGGTTTGAAATAAGGGAGCAAACTGAACCAGAGCCAATTTTATATTGCTGTTGTTTTGATTGTTGTCAATCAATTTCAGCATTTTTTATTTGATCAATTTGTCCATTTTGAGGTCATCTTGATATGGTTTGTGCTTATTGTGAGTTTCTGTTTGATTTCTTGGTTTGTTTCAGTTCATCTTTGTTGTATCAGTATCTTTAAGTTTTTTAATCTAGTGTCTTTTTTCTATTGTGTTCATGCCTTGAGAGTCCTTCATCGGTATAAAATTGTTAACTAGTAGAGAATATAACTGATGACATATGGCACAATATACCCCAAGATGGATTAATTAATCTATTGACATTTGCTGTTATTGTAATAAAGAAATTAGAATGTAAACATATTAGCATGCTGTGCACTAGATTGCAAAGCTTTATTGCCATGCAGCTGTGTAGGACCCAGTTGGCAGAACAGTGGGTGGTGAATGACTAAATAAATTTAGGTTTCTCCTTAACGAGCAGTTCAACTTTACCTCTATGACTGGAAAATCTATTAAAATTCAATATAACATTTGTATTGCCTGAAAAAATGTTTTCCTTTGGCAACAATTTCTGCTAATTTGATATTAGGAACTTCCATAGTCTTCCCCTGACCCTGTCGTGAAGAATTATAAAAACTTTTCCAATTGTGAAAGAACAATCCCTTTAAAAAGTATCCCACAGTGCTTTTGCATTTTTTTACATTTACTCGTGTTTCTTTTTTATTGTGCTTTCATTTTGTAGACCAATTCAAATAAGTAGTCAGGAGAAAAAACTGCATGCAATTCAACATTCTATTACAAATAAAAATTGTAAACATGGATATATACCGGCTGTATTTTATACTGTCCAGAGCTAACTTTTACTGCAATTCTAGCTGCAGGTCGATTGGAGGAATTCTAGTTTTCATTTTTTTTTTTTTATAAATATTTAAAACTCAGTCTGCTTAAGAGCTTCTGAAAATATTTGTTTTTTAACAGATTCTTAATTGAGACCACAGCACCATGCTGCCACTATCATGGTTCACCATTGGGATAATTATTTTCTACCTCAAATAACCTTTTGTATAAAAGGTATAACAGTTTTGGTTTCACCTCCTCAGAGTATGTTCTTTTACATTCAACTTATGAAATTGGTGGACAGCAATCTATTGGTATGTTTGCTGTTATATTTAAGATGGTGCAAAGTTTGTGGGACGACTAGGTATTAAGATTTGCATTTCTCCACCGTTCTTTCACCTACATATCTGTTGTGTTCTTGAGAGGAATGATTAATTTTCCTACTTTATCTAAGAAATTTCTGCAACCTTGAAGGAACAGCTGTACAGATACTGAGATCACAATATACAAAGGTGGACCAATTATTTGAATTCTGAAAGTAAGCGGCTGCGCAGTGTTATTAAAGAACATATGAGTGAAGGGGGCTGTTTTGTATTTGGATAAAATCAGATCTAAAATCTAAAAAAAAAACACACCACCCTTTCCCCTCAGATAAGTCCTTTGTTGGGGTATCAGATAGATTTTGAAATAAACACATTATAGCCACTGGTTTTAAATCGGCAATTCTTAAACTAGTTAACCCTCTATGGCATTCTGTTGCCCTCAGGCAACAAACCACTATTTTGGCCCACACACCGCCCCTTAACATTTTTTTAAGTAAAACATCACATTAAAAGTCTGATGATATGTCTGTGACCAATGAAATTTGGGCTAGGCGTGGCTTTGACCTTTGTCTTGGAGTGAAACAATCCTTTTTTG